ACTCTGTTGCTTTGCATGTTCACTGAGAGATGCACCAGAGACAAATTCTTTGTGTGTCTAATCATACTTGGCCAAATAAAGTATTCTATAAAATATTCTATTATGAATAAATTTATACATTTATTTACAATATTTCGTTGCTCCCTTTAAGACAGAAGTCTGCTATGGCAGCTTTCAGAGATAAAAACATTCTACTACAGAGTCATATTACAATAAAAAAACAAGCAATGTAGATAAGATAACAGTTAAAGTCATCACACTTATCGGGGTTGCATGGCAAGCCACTACAACAATAATTCTTCCTCACGGAACTCAGCACACCTCCAGGAAAGTCAAAACTCAGTTTGATTAGATAAGATGTTTTATTGCAAATATGAGTGATGCTAGCACAACAAAAATCCACTTCTACAGAGCCTAAAAAACTAGAACGTTTTTTTTCTCTCCCCCCTCCCCATATCTACATCTATGCCAAAGTATAAATGCTGAGTTTATGTCACTCCTTGATTGGAGCAGACTGCTTGCAGTCCATTTATCATGCTCACCTGTTGATGGCATCTGGTTTTTATTTACAAAATGGGTCCTCTCTAGTCCCAAGTGGTTTGTTCTCCACCTTCCCAACTCCATCCCTCACACCTTCTAGTCACCCCTAAATTATTCTCACCTCAGATTGATTTTCTCTCCTTCAGTTTCAGTTAAACGTGGTTCCCATGAACAAATAGTTGGATACTTACCTGTGTCCGACAGAGGATGAAAGCACCACCGGGTATTAATATCATATGAATTGAAGCAACACCCCTTTGCTTGGCATTCCTCAGCAGTGATGCTTGGGTAACCACATTCCAGCCTTGCGCTCCCTTCCATTACACAGTGTTGAGAAGCTATTCAGAAAAATGAGTCACGTTACATGAATAAAATCATCCTTCTTTATATTTTTCATATATATATATTCAATTCAAAATTTGAATTGCTAACAAAGAATTAAGGGAGAACTGGAATAGCCATTTCGAACTTTTTAGTTCTTTTCAACCAGACATACCCTTCTGAGATTCGAACCTGGGTTGTCTGCATGTTAGGCAGATGTATTAACCTCTAGGCCACAATCAGGATGAGTGTAGAGTGGACGATCTTTAAAAACATGATATGGATAAATGTTTAGCGAGAAAACTTAAGCTAAAAATAAAAACAAAAAACAAACCGGAGCTTTCAAGTAACAGAAGTCCTCTCCTGGATGGACTGTAAATTCTGATTTCTGTTCAGCCAACACAGCAAACTAAAGAGATGGCTGCTTTGGCTTTTGCAATGAAGCTCTTATATACGTGCAACTTCTTTTGAGGTATCAGCATACTTTTACCAGAAATTGAAGTAGTAGACTTGTAAGTTGGTTTTGCTTCTTTTTTGCTTTGTATTGTGTTAATATAAATCTTGACGCATTATTTTATTTCAGTGCCATGATATTTATATAATATGCTAACCATCTTAATGTTATATTATTTAGACACTTTAGAGAATGGGGGGGGTCCAACCTTGGCAATTTTAAGACCTATGGACTTCAACTCCCAGTATTTCCAAGCCAGCCATGCTGGCTGGGGAATTCTAGGAGTTGAAGTCTACAAGTCTTAAAGTTGCCAAGGTTAGATATATCTGCTTTAGTATATTGAATAAAAAAAAGAGGGGGGGAGATGGTTTTTAAAGAAAATGGGGAAAAGTTGATATACGTTTTATTGCTTTTCTTTCGTTCTTTGTTTAGGTCTTAAAGAACTCAAAAATTACTTACCATCATTTACTGGAGGATGAAAACAGGTTGGTGCTCCAGATGCCTTTAGATCAAAGCAGCATCCAATTCGTTTGCACCTTTTGCGTGTGATCCCTTGATAGCCACAATCCTTTCTTTCTTCTGGTGGAATCATTTTCCTTGCATAGGTTACTGAAGCTGTTATTGTAAATAATATGCAGGTCACTGTATTTTCCAGATAATAAGCTTGGCTATGGCTTAAAAAATAAAAGTTGCATTCTGCCTGAAGGGGTACAATCTCCCTTTCTCCCAAAGGTGCTTTTCAAAAGGCCACTTGACTTGCTTTGTTTTTTTCCCTGAAGACATTTTGCTTCTCATCCAAGAAGCTTCTTCAGTTCTGAAGAAGTGAAGAAGAACCAAAGAAGCTTCTTGGATGAAAAGTAAAACGTCTTCAAGGGGGGGAAAAAGACAGTCCAGCTGCCTTTCGAAAAGCACTTTAGGGACAACCATGACCTGGATGACTGAGAATCTCCATAGACAATCTCCCTTTCTGCTGCCCACCTCTCATTACCTCTTTCACCTGATGGTTTGAAGCACCAGGGGACGTCAATCATCGATGCATCAAAACAACATCCATTTGCTGTGCACTGCTCTGCAGTAATGTTTTCTGAAGAAAATTCACATTCATCTCTTTCACTGACTTCCATTAGACATTGGCAGGCATCTGTTTGGGAGAAAGAAATTGGGCAGTTGCCTGTGATCTTTTCTTCTCTGTGAATGTATTTTTCTCAAATTCAATAGTCAGTATTTCTGACTAGATATATTAAGCAGTGGTCCTTTTCTGATATGCTCTTCTCTTAGTCGTTTCCATTTTTTTCAATGGAAGATACAAGACTCACAATTCTGAAGATAACAACCGATGATTTAGAGGTAAGAATCATTCTGTACTAATATTTATTAATAATACATTTGGAACAATCACAGTTATTACTTCTCTGTGTATCGTAGAACTTTAGTTATGAGTTGTGTTTAAACCATCCCATGATCATTAATAACATCCCCTTCTCTATATGGTTTTACACTTTCTTAACATATGTAGAAGGCTGATTTAAATATACTCTTTCATGTTAACTACTGGTGCTTTAAGCAAGAATATAAATAAATAAATCCAGTCTATTAAACCTACCACACACACATAGATCATTTAATATACTAAGAAGTAAAAAGTTCTATCCTATAGCCATAATTTCAATATATGTTGGCAGGTTCCCTACATAGATATGCAGTGTCTGAACACCTGAATCCCATATTGATTCCCCTAGATTTTTAACAGAATGTATTAAATTTAGATTCAAGTTTCTCCAAAATATTTTTCTTGTTGTAGGAAATACACAAGGATTTTTTTTTATGGTCTAGAATTCTGATGGTCTGTTTTCTGGGATAGCTCATTCTAAATCTTCTCCGCATTCTAATTTGCAATAGCCTCTCATTGAGAAAATGTGACAACATCAAAAATAATATACACCCAATGAAGTATTCACACAAATGCTGTGACTTACATAGTTGCATTAGATATCCTGACAAAAATACAATCACAACACTCAGGTGACTACACATATGTCACCATTTGCCACTTTTCTCCTCACCTCCCCTGCCAACATCCCTGCTTGTAATTGCCTATGAGTACCACTGGGACAAATCCTTGAAGTTATTTGCCTGGCTACTTCAGTTCAGCAATCAAAAGTTTTCCGGTTCAGATACTTTGGATAGGGTTACCAGATGTCCATCAAAAGGAAATACGTCCTCCATTTTGTCATCATGTCCTCTGTCCAGCAGATGTAGCCTTAAAAATCAAGTACCGTCTGGATGCTTAAGTATCTACAAGCAATCTCTTTCTGAGCAGCTTTTCTCCCAGAGTCAGTGCTTCCCTAATAAGTGCTAATGACAAGTTAACAAGCTCAGCTTTGTGGCCTAAGTTGACTAGTACTCTCCAGGCTGCCTTCTGCCTGAAACTGATAAGACCTACATGATGCAGTCTTTTGCCTCCTCTCTTGCTCTAGTACATTCCTGTGATTGAAAAGCTAGTCTTTTTAATGCTGGAAAAAGTAATTTCATATAAATGTAGATCTAAACATGTTTTTTTTCTGTCACTTTTTACTGTAATTTTTACTGTGAAGCCAAAAAAGTTAAACACTTCATTTTTCTCCCATTTGATCTTCCCAATTTCCCATGTCCTTCTTATCTGTTCGGATATCTGGTAATGCACCCAGTACTCCAATGCTTTTGGATGGTTCCATAATACCTGCACATATTTAACAAGAGAGCCAGACATAGACCCAAAAGAGGGAATGGTGTCCTGGAGAACAATCATATACATGTCTACTCAAAATATGTACTAATGAGGCCAACGGACTTTAGAATTCCCACATTATTTAACTGGAACAAATATATGTTTAGGTTATGAACTATATCACATACAATCATATACTGTAGGTAAAGATAAAAGTTTCCCCTTTCCAGCTGTTTTTGACTCTAGGGGTTGGTGCTCATCTCATCTGTTTTTTAGCCGAGGGAGCCAATATTATGCAGACATTTCCATGCTCATGTGGCCAGCATGAGTATACGCCAAGGCACACAGAATACTGTTACCTTCCCACCAAAGTGGTACCTATTTATCTACTTGCATTTGCATGATTTCGAACTGCTAGGTTGACAGGAGCTGGAGCAAGTAATGGAAGCTCACTCCATCATGCAGCACTCAGGTCTCAAACCTGAATGCTTTCCAGCTAACAAGCTCAGTGCCTTTAACTGCTGAGCCATTACACCCCCCTCTAAAGTCATATATATTCATATAATTATAATGTACTCATTATAGTCACATATATAGTATTCATATGCATGCATTATGATATAGCAAATAAAATGAGTTTCTTATCCATTTTTGCTTGCTTATTAAGCAATTAATAGCTAACCCATGACTTTATCATCAATTTACCTTGCTTAAGTTATTAATAAATATTATATACTTACATGGTGGGTGACTACTCTTTTGAGGGCCTACAAATCCTAAACACAAAGCAGTAGCTAGTACTAAGCAGGTCTTAAACTCCATTCCTTTATCCAGCCTGTGCTCTTCAGTGTTCCTTAAATATACAAATACACATGAACATAATTTATAATCATAAGTTACTATAATATAAATATTAAATCAGCCTTTCTCCTTCAAAAATGTTGCAGCAAAGTTCTGCTTCTTCTTAAGATTAATTCTAAATACTCACTTGTGGTTGTGATTCTGTAACAACTACCTAACTGTACAAACCAGAAAATACTTCACTCCTTAAATAATGTGTTTTTAATCACATGGCAAAATAACTTGCACTAGATTTATAACAACAGGAAAACATTTTGCAGCCAAAAGTTTCACTTCTCCTGCCAGCATTCTTTGCCCTTTCCCTACCCTGGTGAGTGTGGTAGTGATAGTATTCCCATTGAACATTCTGGGCTGTTCTGAGATTTTCGATTTTTTTTAATGAGCGTTAGAGAGTTTAGGATTGTATTTTGTTCACATTAAAGTTGCATTTTTTAAGCTGCTTTCAGGGCAAGATCTTCTGATTTTTTCTTCCTTCTAATTAATGTGGAGACGCTAAGGAATTATTATCTTTTAAAAGTATTTGGAGTCCTACAATGTATCTCATAAGTCCTTTTCACTATTTGTTGTGACTTTGTTATTCAAGGAGGCAGATTAAACTGTGTAAGATAGAGGTATTGCCACAGTTCCTTGCTCTGCCTATGGTGTATGCCAATACTTTCCGTCACTGGCTTTGTGTACTGAAGTCTGAAGAGAGCTGCATCTTGAACACAAATAGCTTTTGTATGATTGAGAACATGAAATTCAATGAACTGGAAATGAGTTTGCTTGTAAATAATTCATACCATTGCTAAATATTACACAGAGTAAGAGACACTTTTGTAGATAATCTAGTTAAGGCCAATGCTAAAGTATCACAGTTGGTTATCCAACGTCTCTTGTACACTTTCACCAAAAAGCCATCCCAGGTATTTTTACAATTCCACTCCTATCATTATGAAGTTCTTTCTAATATTCAGGGGAAATTTATCCCCACCGTCTGTAATTTAGGCCTTTAAATTTAATTCTGTCTTCAGGAACAGCAGAGAATACTGGAATTTATTTATCTTCTGTGTGAGGAACCATTGAGTATTTGAGGAATGCTATCATGCCTCTCCCCACATTGTCTTCTTCAGCCTAAACCTAGCCAGCTCTTTTTAACCTTTGTCCAGGGATCCTTTGCCAAACTCCTTAGTATCTTTATTGTCCTCTGGAACCATTCAATTTTGTCTACCTTTTTCTTGAATTGGGTCCTTCTGAATTGAATATGTTTCCTAATCCTAATCAATCTTATTTGATGATCTGACTAGGCAGCATAAAATGAAACTATTGTTTCTGTAGCAAGTGGTTTATGAAATTGTATCACTACAGATTTCCATCTTGGGAAAATCTTTATATTTCCATATCCACATATAAGCTCACTGCACCTGGCCCCGCCCTTTCCAAACAAATTCATCTGACCCCACTCTATCCCACAATTTAAAAACATATTTAAAAGCTTAATTATTTTAAAGATCATTTGATTTTACACGGCACTTACAAAACAGAAAACAAAGAATAAGACAAAGAAACACATGAAGATTTTAATCTTACTTGAACTGCTGAGAAGCTAGAAATATCTGACTTGACTGTAGTGCCTGCAGATATGGATCCTGGAGTAATACTACATTTCCTGTTTACTTGGGGCCCAAGTATTAATTTTGCATAGCGCCTCTTAGTCTGTGGAATCATATTTTAATGACTGTGAAGTTACATCATGCATTAACGGAGTCTGCAGTGCTTTATTTTTGAAAGAGCATAGAACAAAGGGCTTGTTCATACATGATAGGTTAGGCCTTGGGCAACAGGCTACACTTCCCTAATTATTTGTAAGATGTTCAGCTAGTTCACTGTCTTAGCATTGGGTCCTCTGAGCTCATACTGCAACATATTGGCAGTATGTTGGATGTTTTCCATATTTGGATATACCATAACCCCTGGCATTATGCTGACATCAAGGATGTACCCCGGAATTCAGAAAGATTTGCTTGGAAATCTTTATCTTCAGAATGCACTGTTTTGTGACAACCCTCATTTTTAAGTCTTCCTGAAAGTGATGCAAACTGCATTGTACATCTACACTTTTTAATAAGAAATGTTGATAAAGCAAGATCAATTGCAAGATAACATTTCCCTATTTTTTTCTGCATAGCTGATTATGATACAAACTGCAAGAAAACCCATTCTATATTTCAATATAATAATAATAATAATAATAATAATAATAATAATAATAATAATAATAATAATAATAATAATAATAATAATAATAAAGTTGGAAGGGACCTTGGAGGTCATCGAGTCCAACCCCCTGCCCAGGCAGGAACCCTACACCATTTCAGACAAACGGCTGTCCAGTCTCTTCTTAAAAACTTCCAATGTTGGAGCATTCACCACTTCTGGAGGCAGGTTGTTCCATTGGTTAATTGTTCTAACTGTCAGGAAGTTTCTCCTTAGTTCTAAGTTGCTTCTCTCCTTGATCAGTTTCCACCCGTTGCTTCTCGTCCTGCCTTCAGGCACTTTGGAGAATAGCTTGACTCCCTCTTCTTTGTGGCAGAATGCATTTTTCATCAGTAATAACTCCCCTCTTTTAATCAAATTCTTTGGTTAGTAATGATCACAGACAAGAGGTAAATGGGGAGATTTCAACACTGCACTAATACATTGTGAAAATTTTTATATAGTATTCTGTGAAGCCTTTAAAATACAAAATGTCAAATAAATTGTATCTTCAGTAACTAATTCTACAAATGAGGGATAGGTTTTTCAGCTAGAGAGAAATTGGTTCTGTACAAGGCTGATTCTTGTGATATCACTATACTCAGATCTGACACAGCTAGAAATAGAGAGCATTTTCATACATGAAGTTAAAATCTGCTTTTAAATATTTCTTCTGCTACTTATAGAGGTTGATGAAGAGTTCCCAGACTAAGGCGACAAAGATAGTACAGAGATCACTTAGTCAATGTCTGTTTTAATTATGATTAAGAGGGAGTATGTTAATCATCTAATCACCCTCAGATACCTGAAGGGCTGTCATTGTAACAAAACTGTTATCTTTTTCTCCAGGCGGTTAAATCCAAAGCAACAAATATAAAAAAGACATTAATTTTGATTCAGTGTTAGTTGGATTTGATGTCCAGATTGCATGTTGGCTGGGGAATTCTGGGAATTGAATTCCTTGCATCTTAAAATTGCCAGGGTTGAGAAACACTGGTTTAAAGTAATAGTCATCAATCAAGGATGCTACAGCCATAGATTTTCTTCATTACCTGAAGGCTAGGCAAGAAGATTTTTGAAGTAACAATAATTCTGATTTGATTATACTATCATTCTGGTATATGAGGTGGGAATTGGGTGCAGAAAAAGGGTAAAAGAGAAGGTTGTAATATGAATGAGCATTAGTGTCAACATCCAGCTTGAGAATCCAAATAAAACTCCAGGTTCATTCCATCTCTGAAAATCTTACTATTTATTGAATACACAGCATGGTTATGTCAAAGCAAAACTAACTCTGAGGTTCCAACACCAATTCACAGACTTAAACAATAATTTTCCCAGCCAAACCCCTAATGTCTTACATAGTCCATATAAACAAGTTCATTTTGTTATGGGAACCATCTGCTTCAAATCCACACCCGTTCTGGTGTCCTTGAAAAGGCTTCAGGCTCTCACAGTCTTCAGCAGAATCATAGAAGTTCCGTTTCTTCATCTAATCCACTTGAAAATAACACCTCCCCCCTTAATCTAAAGGCAAGTTGAAACACAGAGGTGTGTAGCTGCCAAAGTTTCATCATTGACAATTAGGCTATTATATTCAGAGTCAATTGAGTTGAAGTCTCATATGTGAATGTCCACATATTTTTTTCAGATATATTTTGTTTTAGAAATATTTGGCTGAATCAGTTGTTCTTAGACATGAATTTCCTTCCTTCTTTATATTTTTGGAAAACAGAGAGAGGCCCTCTAATTTTGTCCCTATCTGAACTTTTGCCACCTTCAATTCCTCTTACAAATGTCTATTAGATGTACATATGTGGAATGGAATCTAGATATATTTTAGGAGAACAGAAGCACTACATGCATACACCTGGACAATTATACTCATCTAATGGATACTCATCAGGGACATAGCACTTGATATTAATGGTGGGCACTGCTATTTAGGTGGTCTCAAAAAACCCTTCAAGCATTAAGACAAACTTAAGATGAAGTTAAACACATCACATGGTTTGCTTTGCTTTATTTTTTAGAGAATGCAAATATTGTTGGGCACGAGGATTCAGAAAAGTAGAATTTCACAATCATAGTTTGTTAGTTCTCCCCCTTAGATCAGGGGAAGTGGATTTAATTAATTTATTCAGCTGTATTTTTTCTGCAGGATTTCATAAGGTATGAAGTCATAATGAAATGCAGAATTATGAAAGAAGTTAGATGAACAGCTCTTCATGCAGAAACGTACTTCCAGGTGCAATTCAAGGTGTTGGTGATCACCTTTAAATCACCCCACTGGGATTGGCCCCTCGCATTTGTGCCAGCAGAGGAGGCATGCTGTGGGTCCTGTCAGCCCAATTATTCCGGCTGGCGGGGTCCAGGAGGAGAGTCTTCTCTGCTGTTGTTCCTGCCCTCTGGAACATCTTGTCTCCTGATGTGAGGGTGGCCCCAACCCTCCTATCCTTTCGTAAGGGCCTAAAGATGCAGCTCTACCAGTTGGCTTGGAGGGGGGGGAACAGCACAGTGGTAGTGGTTGATTGCGTAACAATCGATCCCACCTCCCCCCACTCCAACCCCATCCTCCCCAGGTTTTAATGTTGGTTTTAATTATTTATGTTTTAATTGTACATGTATAGGCATATTTTTATGACTGTAAGCTGCCTTATCCTGTGGTAAGATGGGTGGCCAATAAATTTTATAAATAAACAACAAACTCACTAATAAAATTGTTCAACTAGTTCTGTATGCATCTAATGGTAGCCAACTCCAGCCCAAAGCTTTGCATCTACTTCGAATGCTTTATTTAATGTTTTGTTGAAGTCAAAGTATGCCAGCCCTATAGGGTAGACAGACTAAAAAAACCAATGCCATTATAGGGTTAAAACTACTTTTATTGGAGCAGCTGTGCTGCTGGGAAATGTCCAGCCATGCAGAAAAGAAGAATCAAGTGGGGAGTTAATCTTGAATTGTCAAGAGATCTAGGACTGATACCCTCCCCCACCCCAAGCTCCATGGAACCTTATCTGTTTATTCCCAAGGGAAGGCCAGCCATCTGGAGACAATTCCTATATTATAGGTAGAATTTCAGTAGTCAACTTGAACTCTTCAGGTCAACTGTTGACCTGTTGCTTGGGCTTGACATATAATAACAGAATCTTCTGAGTGGCTGTTCCTCTCCTTCACTGTATTTTCATATGAATGACAGAGGGACCTGTCTGAGGTGTTTTCTCAAATTAGTTTCTTGGAAAGTACTCAAACTAAGCTCCTCTAATCATTGCTTTAGTAGGAGCATTTCCTCCTGTCCTTCAAGACTATTTCCTGTGCCCTCTATAAGATATTCTACCTTATAGAGAAGGCACAGATATGCTACATCCACCACATTCCCATGGTCAGCTAAACTGAAGGGTCTTAATTACCTTGGCATTCTCTTTGAAGATAAAAACATTTGATCTTTTCCAATTTTCTAGCACTGTAGCTGTTCTTTGTGATTCCACAAGGAATAGAGAATGATGATATCTGCAAGCTCATTTAAAATTGAGAGATCTAATGTCCACACAGTACTTTATTGCAGAATCCCTTTTAGTTCTCCATAGAATTTCTTGTCTTCTATTTTTGCTTTTATTTTCTTTTATAGTATAGTCTGTTACTATACAATTCTTGCAATACCTTTCAAAAGTTAAACAATATGGAACCAATTATAAATATTCCATCGAGAAGCATATTTTAAAGTAACTGAAATGATCACGAGGAAATACTGCATATATGTATATAATTTATATATCAAATTTTTGATATATATAATGTGGGATTGCCTCTGAAGATTATTTAGACATTATAATGAAGTTTCCTTCTAACGTGGCAGCGCAGAGTTAGCCATTCATGAGTTATTTCACAAATATAAGTTTCTGATTTAAGTCACAAAGTATTCATTATGCTCAATCTACATGCATTAGTGACATCACATACACTTATAGTGCAGAATAGTTTTGAGAAGATGACTGGTCCCAATTTAGTATATTGTCCAATTCAAAGTATTCATTTTGAGTTTTAAAAAACTTCACAACCCAGGATCTGATGATCAGGTTTGAATGATCAGCTAGATTCATTATGTTCCTAACCATGCATATACTTTCAATGGAGTGTCCTCCTGATGCCTCTTCAGGACAGTAGAGTAGACAGTAGACAAAGTTATTTCTCTGTTGCCAGGGCAGTGGCAGATCACTCCCTGACACTTAGGACCTTATGTTCTTAATAGCAAACATTTTTCACCATCTTTTACGTCTTTTAAGATACACTTTTTTTTGTCTCTTCAAGTCATGCAGACCCCAGTGTGATCATACCATGACAAAGGACTAACTGTAACATTCTGTGGTTTTCAAATCACATTGAAACTGTTTCAGGAAAAGAAAAAGACCTCATGTGTGACACTTGTGTAATTTATGTTCGGGTCTGCAGTTGCCATGTTGGCTGTGAACTCTCAAGCCACCTCCAGTTCAGTGCCCCAGGACTGTAGATTGAAGTCTCACAGACCCAACAGTCTAGGACAGTGGTTCTCAAACTGTGGTCCATGGACTCCCAGGGGGTCATGATGTTGTCATGGGGGGTCTGCAAAGGCTTGAAGAAATGTTATGATTTAAATCTTGAGTTAAGTCTTGGGGGTATGTGGTAGTGGTCCATAGCTACAAAAGGTATTTAAAGGGGTCCATGGTGAAGAAAAGGTTGAGAATTACTGGTCTAGGGGATTCTACTGTCAACTCCACAACAGAGTAAGACAGCTCAGATAAGAAGGCTGGTATAGCAGCAACAAATCCAACTGCTTCCTAGGGCCCGACTTCAATCATGAAACTTTATATTTGGCTAATATATGGCACAGTGTCCCTAAAAATCACTAGATCGCCTTCTCATAACACAGTCCCATCCTCCCTGGTACAGGACTGCAATTGATGTCAGACTCAAATCCCAGGTAGATATATTTCAAAGATGGAAACATCCCCTTCTGGATCCAACCTGGTTATACATGCCAGATTAGTTGCCTCATCCACTATCAAATCATGGATGAGGCCGGCCCTATTATACACCAAACTAACATTTAGTAACAACAACCAGAATCAGGACTACTGAGGATCTAGTCAATATTGAGGACCAGGAGGTGAGATCATCCCAGAGATTGATATTTCCTTTCCCAGGAGAGGCTTACTTCAGATTCCCTATTGTAGGACAGAATAAACTTTCTCTTTGTAAGCTGTTTTTAAAGGATTATTTGCTTTTTCTCACCATTTCGCAGCTTTCTCTACTTTGCCTTGAATGCAGATCTTAATTAATTAAATGCATTCCACTGTGATGTAATAGCTAAGTCACTGGATCAACATTCAGAATAACAACTTCAAATCTACTAGCAACCACAGTACCCCATTGGGTGGTTTACACCATCAAACATTCATATCTGCTTATCCCAGGTCCTTGGAAATGAATTGATTTGTAAACAAAAATACCAAATCCAGTCTGAACATCTCTCTGACTGTGCAACAACCATATAATAATACTGATTTGAACTCAACTTGACTCTGGTGCTTCCTACCAGGGACCACACAATCTGTGTTCTCTGACCAGTTATGGGCTACCCTGATACCCACTGAGGCACTATCTTGACATGGTTGTGTGCTCTGAGGAAGATAAGAGCTATACCAGAGGTTCAACCATACTGGACACATCTCATCAGAGGAGTCAGACAAAGAGTGTCTTTCCCATAAAAATTATGGTGAGATATAAATTACTGAAACTCATATTGGCTTGGTCATGGCCCAGGTCAACAAGGACCGTGCTAGTTGTTGGAGTTCCTGGGCATTTGGTGAAAAATGGGCTATCGGACTCAGGACTGTTGGCTGAGCAACCAAGGCCAGCATTTGCAGAACTACTGGAGGGAAAGGTGTTTACTCATCGCAAACATGCAGTGACAGAAAACAAAGAAATAATGATCTGTTATTACAGATCAAGTCCAACAAGAAGAGAATATTTGAAATGAATGCACCAAGTGTGGAAAAACAACATCCAGAATCAGAAATAACAGAACAAAGGCTAGCAGAGCAATGATTTATAATACAAAATAAAGTATTCATAGAAGCAGCATTGGAAGACCTACAAAAGTCTGAACAGGGCAAAGAAATCAAAGCCTTGCTATAAGTACCTCAGACTGTAGAGGCAAACCAGAGGGAGTTGGCAGTAGCAGAAGCCAGCACAGGTATAAAATTGTTTTCATTAAAAACCAGGCACTGTCTCCCCTGCTTCACAAAGAACAAAGCTCTATCACTAAAGAAATAGAAAAATTGAAAGAAAGTATAACTGAACATTTAGAACAGTACAAAAACAATAGAATAAGGTTGCTTAAATTGAAGCTTGTTCCAAAGAAACAGCTAGCCCAAGCATTAAAAGATGCCAATACTGTAATATCAAATCTAAGCACCAGCTTGCGACATGAAACAAACCAACTAGTTTATAGTACAGCTGCAGTTACAACTGAATATCTGGGATACACACCCAAAATGGAAGATTAGGCTGGAAAATAAGATCAGCAAGCTGAGATCAAATGAAAGCAAACTAGAACATATGAAATAAAAATTTGAAGAACAAGAAGACCAAAAAATACCTAATCAAAAAATACTACTTAGAAATGAGGAAAATTAAGAAAGCACTAGAAATAATAAAATTGCAAATAAGAGCTATAGCCAAGAGGATCAGCAGATACAAAGCTTGAATTGCAAATTATAGGCAGAATCTCCAATTTCAGTCTAATCAGAAACATTTCTAGCAATCCATCAATGGAGAAACTGCAGTGAATAACTCAACAAGCATAGATGTGGAATAACCCAAAGAAATACAACAAGAATGCAACTTGGCTAAAGGAGGTGGATAAGAATAAAGAAGAAATAAAAGAACTTGTAATAACAGCAGAAATGATGTAGAAAAAGGCAGGGAAAACCAAGAATTGATCAGCACCGGGTGAAGATGAACTGCATGATTTTTGATTGAAGCATCTGACTACTCTACACTTACTTGTTGCCAAGCAATTTAAAAATGTACTGTAAGGAAGTGAAATTGAAGAGTGGCTAACATCTGGCAAAATGTACCTGATAATGACAGATCCAACGAAAGGGGCAGCACCAGGCAACTACTGCACAGGCTAATTACTTGCTTGCAAACAACTTTCAAATTGCTAACTAGTGTAATAGCTGATATAGTCCAACAACATCTAGTGGAAAACAAGCTTTCTCCACCTGAGCAGAAAGGAAAGTGCCTAAATAGCAGAGAAACAAAAGAACAACTAATTGACAAGATGATTGTGGAAAACTGCAAGAAAAGGGAGATCAACGTATATAGTGTGGAGTGATTACAAGAAGGCATTCAACTCTCTGCTACATGATTGAATAATCAAGTGCTTACAAATAACAGTAAGAAATATCAGAAGTTTTGTGCAAAAATCAATGGTACAATGGAAGACACAGACTGATTACAAAGATGCAATAAAGTAGCAATAATGGTGCATTGGAAGATCTGCAAGAAATAACATTTGCCTGCAAGCAAGACCTGGTGGGACTATAAAATACAAAAAGTAATTAAAAAAAAGTGCTCTGAGACTTTAGAATTCAAACAGACAGGCATCTGACACTTAACAACCCAGACTTAACAACTGTTGATAAGAAAGACAAAAAAGTCTGGATAGTGGACATGGCAATACCTGGAGAAGTAGAAGAGAAGAGAAAGAAGATAACAAAATATGAAGTCCTGCAAATAGAAATAGAATAACTGTGGCAAAAGAAAGCAAAATAGTACCCATAGTCATAGATAACTTAGGTGCAATCCCAAAACAACTGGAGCATCACTTGAATACCATTGTCATTGACAAATTCACCATTAGTCAATTGCAAAAGGCAGCTTATATCTTGCTACAGTATTTTTAAACACCATCAAACATCTATTTATCCCAGGTCCTTGGGAAGGACTCAATAAGTAGATAAAAATGGCAAATCCAGTCTGGACATCTGTCCAACTGTGCAACAAACAACTGATCTGAACACAGTTTGGCTTTGGGGTTGGCTAGCAGAGACCACATAATCTGTGTTCTCTAATTAAGGTTGGTTGCACAGTCACCCAGATGTTTGATTGGGTTTGGCATTTTTATCCACTTAGCAAGTCCTTCTAAAGGACCTGGGATAGGCAGATGTTGATAGTGTTAAACAGCCCTAGTGAAGGACACGATAGATGGATTAAAATGCCAAACTCAGCTGAAACATCTGAGTAACTATGCAACCAACCATAATTAGAATACAGATTTTGTGTGTCTCTGTCCCTGCTAATAAGCACCAAAGTCAAGCTGTGTTCAAATCAGTAAATAAGTGACCTTATATATTTAAATAAGTTCAACATTCAGCTAGTGTCTAACAGTTTTTCTATCACAATTCCATATATAAAACATAGTCTCCTCTCCCTTTTTATACGTATTCCTTCCATGCTTGGTGTAGGACCTTAGCTCACTCTTTAAACATGTCTTTTTATTTTGCTTATTTGGCCAGATCTTATAGAATTTTCTGGTTTCATTTTAAAGCAATCAGATTATGGATGGGATTTTTTTTTAAAAAGGGACCAATGGTTTACAAATAAGCCTTCATCTCAAGACTGCACAAAGTCATGCAAGAAGGCAAAATTTCTCCAATATAAAAGTATATTGTGTAGTTATAGGAGAAAAAAAATTGCAGCACCTTTGTACAAAAGTACAAAAAAAGCTGAAAATTAATTGTAGAGCATTTTGATGAATGCATGATGATGACGATGACGATGACGATGATGATGATGATGATGATGATGATGATGATGATGATGCTAACCATCTCCCTTCCACTCTTCTCTCTATGGATAAAAATCAAGATTGCATTAGGAGTGCATTTTGGGATACTGAACAAAGTCCTAAGGAAATTAAGTGCTTTCATAAGCCCTTAGGTTTGTATATAGGCCAAGTTTCATCCCACATAAATTGGCCCTAAACAATGTGACTGATGCTGGAATGTAATTTGCCCCCTGTTGCCTATAAAATTTAGTTTATAGTGTGCTCTTTTGGGCAGTAGAAGTGGCAGAATTTGTTTGGGCTGTTAATTTCCTAGAGGCTTCAAATACTTTGCCCAAGTACTTAAAATATTTCACTTACTCTAATTCATGGGAATCAATTGACCACTTGTGCCTTTGTCTTTTGTTGAAAAAAATAAAAGTTAAGATTTGTCATAATTGATAACTACGTTCTTCATTACCTGAGTCCTTCGGGAGAAGGGCGGGATATAAATTGAAATAATAAAAATTACAGAAGGATGCTGTGATTGTTAATGCCGTTTACTGTAAAACACATGTGGCGAGTTCATGTGGAGATAATACTAGGGAACACATCCACATAGATCTTCATAATCAGTATCTCCAAAATTTATGGAAAGATATTGACTCAGAATCAGACGATCCATGCATAGACAAACCATGGGAAAGGTGCTAGGCCAGGGGTCGGCAATCCGTGGCTCTGAGCCGCATGCAGCTCTTTCATTCCTCTACTGTGGCTCCCAGTCCTCCTCCAAGATGCCAAGAGAGTGACTGAAGGAAAATGAGTGAACCCGATCAAGTACAATTAAAGTTCTTAAACTTTTCTTTGTAATATTGATAAAGGTGGTGAAACATTTTTATGTCCAAGTTAAATTCATGAAGAGCTGGCTGGCTGGGGAGGGGGGGGGATCATGGTTGAAGAAAGCGGAGGCGCAGCAGCGGGATTGCTCTCAAACAATAAGAGCCAGGTGCATTGCTCGCTCGTGTGCACCCGCCTTATTGAGAACAATCCTGCTGCTACGCCTTGAGTGGGGAGGACGAGCTTTGCTGCTGGGCCATGCCTGGGCTATGCTCTGCCGCTGCCTGCCAAACTCCACCTTCGCTGCTGGGAAAAGCCATGGCGTCAGGGTGCTCGGCGCAGGGAAGGTAGGAGAAAAAAGCAGCGGCAGGGTGCTCAGCACGGGGGAGGTAGTAGGGAAAAGCAGCGGCAGGGCACTCCGCGTAGGGGAGGTAGGAGGGAAAAGCAGCGGCAGGGCACTCTGCGTGGGGGAGGTAGGAGGGAAAAGCAGCGGCAGGGTGCTCCGCACAGGGGGGTAAGCAGCAGCAGCAGTGGAGTGTTGGGAGGGGAAGCAGCAGGGTTTTGTGGCTCCCAGTGGGTTTTTTTTTCTGTGGGAAACGGGTCCAAATGGCTCTTTGAGTGTTTAAGGTTGCTGACCCCTGTGCTAGGCTAACATTGATGCAGCCTTCATGGACATCAAATGTTCTTCCTAAATTGTCATTACATTCTAAACTTCTTTCAATGGCTTTATTAAAACAGTGGCTGTTTGTTCATCTATTATTCACTGATAAGAGTCTAACAGCTGTTATGTAAGTCAGGGATTACAGTTCCTATGGGCATATCAATCATGATACCCACATTTGGTCTTTACATTGTTTTATTACACCTCCGTATCATGTTTGATTCTGTTTCATTTACAATAGAGCTTGTTCATTCCTTTACTACACCTATTGTATAGTCTAAGGATTAAGCAAGGATTGCTGAGAAAGAGTGATAACATCAGTCTGATGACTAGATCACCTTAAGCGGTTTGTCATTCTGCAGATAAGTGAAATAGTACATTGGGAGGTGCCCCGCATGAAGGCTGCTACTCTCTTAGGAATATGTGCTCGTGTTCCTGAAATAATTGGCTCTAATTGGCAATGCAAAACCAAGCAGGAAATGATTAAGCATAGCTCTGCAAATCTAATCTTTCTCCTGTTTTATCCCTGGATAAATAGAAGTATATTGGGGTGCGGCAGGACTATCTTATTTGCCAAATGTCAACAAGGTTCAATTGACACTCAGTCTTCTGGCATAAATCTTACATTTTATCAAAGTCTCCCCTCCTACACAGATTTAGGTTTGGTTTCTTCCCACCCACATAATAAACACCGGATTTCAACAATTTCTCTTACAATTGTTAACTTAATATAGTATAAAATCAGCTACAGATGAAGCAAAATCCCTTTCTGTTGTGCCATTCACATATTTGCAACAGAAATACGAACATCTGCAGGGAGGAAGGAATTAAGATGGCAAATGCAACCACATGATTGAAGTTCATTTCTTTTTATATGTGTTGATGGATGTCAAAAAGGGTTGGGGTCTGAGCACACAGTAGTGGTTGCCACCTTGACTATTTTATCCCCCACTACATATGTCCCTGGGGGGAAAGGTTGCAACTGAGCAAAAGGAAACATAACTGCCTGCCTGCTCCCACTGGATACAATGAGCTTAGGCCAGGAAAAGAAACTATCAGAGAATCAACCTCCATTTGTTCATGTATCCAATCCAGAAATGAGGTGATGCGACTGTAGACTCCAGGTTTGTTTTCTTCTGCACAGCCCACCCCAAAGCTGGTTGTTCCTACCAACTTCCAAGTATTCATGTCTTTGCATGCCAGTGGCCCCCCACTGTCTCCCTGAAAAGACAGAAAAACATAACGTGGTGTGGCCATGTCTGAAAAATATTGCTGATCACTATCTGAGGACATATAATCTTGAGGACATTTGCTACCTTTTAACTACACCATACTTTAAGGACTACCATCTTAGAAATCAGTAGAGCAATTAATTCAGCAAGTGTACGATTTTATTCAAGCTGCTTAGCAACTGCAAATGAAGAGGAAGACTCTGTCTCTACGATGAGTCCACAGCATCACTTTTCTGAGAGACTGACATGGATATTGTGAAAAAAGAAACTTCCTTTTGTCATTATCATACAGCTCGGTGTTTCTCAACCTTGGCCTCTCGAAGATGTGTGGATTTCAATTCCCAGACTTCCCCAGCCAGTTTTGGCTATAGCCATGATCAACCTATCAGGCTGATCATGGTTATTCTCTTCTGCTTCCCTCAACTTGGCCTCTTCCGTAAAAGGGTGGGAAGCAACTCCCAGAATCCCAAACCACCTTATCCAGGCTTTACACATCTAAAGAACAATATTTCTGTAAGAAGCAGGAGCAGATCCTTGCCAAAAACTGAAACTGGGATCTTCTGTATTCAACAGCTAACCATCGTTCCTTTTCTTGTGTTCCCCTAAACAAGACATGGTAGGGGAAATCCTTAATTTACAATATTCCTAGTGGTGTTTCCTCACGTCTCCTACATCGTTTCTATTTACATGCATTTATAATTTGACCACAGGCCGATGTGATACATGAACTTTTTCCTATGGCTGAGATGAAGAAAAATTGTCATTAAATGTCATGTAGAAATTCTGTAGAGGTTTTCTTTAAAAGTAGTGTGTTTGCACTACTTTTGACAAAGTTTCCATAGGGGATATAAGCAATAAAATTTAGACATGTATCAATAAGAAATGTTCTTACCTGACAGGTATCTATGCCTCCTTTTAAATAACCTGCACAGAGCATTGATGAAGCCACAATTCCTCCATAAACCTCTCCATGATTGCATACTTTGTTAGAAATTAAAGGGACACCGGCATATTTCATTGTTTCTGAAGTATCTCCTGATATTCCAAGACAATAATTAGTTTTTTCATTTCTGTGTTAAGATGGCTTTTTTTTTAAAAAAGCTATAAGCTGTGATAAAGTATACAGTATATCCTAAGAAGATTTCCTATAATTTAATATATTTTATTAGTCTTATATTCATAAATAAAGTAAATATGTTTATTCATTAGCTACGTATATGTATTGCTGTTTTATAGATTATTGGACCACATGTATCAACTGTTTTTATTTATTTGTTTGTTTGTTTAGAAGGAATTTTAATATCCAAAAAAGAACTAATTCAAAATGATTTATAGGCTAATGCAGTGATTCTCAACCTTGGCCATTTTAAAATGGGTGGTTTCAAGTCCCAGAATTCCCCAGCCAGCCATCATGGCTAGACAATTCTGGAAGTTGAAGTCCTCCTATCTTAGAGTGGTCAAGGTTGAGAAACACTGAGTTAATGCACTGAAATTTTTGACATTTAACTTGACATTCAAAGAGCAAAACGTTAAATGATTAATCTCAACTAAAGTAATCCCTACTACCTTCTAAGACCAGGAATGAAGTAGAGATGGAGCAGTCTTCCCAAATCTGACTTATTTTTATATATGGTCAGCTATAGTCATTACTGTATAGTTTTTGCAATTGAAAACAAAAAACAAGATTAAATTATCATGTTGTGTATAATTTTTCATAATATGCACTTTTTTGTACACAGCATTTTCTACTATGCACAATTTGTGACTTGTCCTAATATGATGCAATTTTGGTTGGTCTAGAAACCAGCAAATTGTGAGTTCTAATCCTGCGTTAGGCATGAGCCAGTCACTCACCCTTAACCCCATTCACTTGTTGTGGGGGAAAGAGAAGGGGGAAGGAGTATTGATATTTGCCACCTTGGCGATATAAAATGGTAGGATGAAAATAAAATAATAATAATAATAATACATTTAAATATTTTTTTAAAATGTGTGTAATTTTTAAGCAGAAATTGCAATACAAAATTCAGAGGAGTGCAAAGTCAAAAATTAATTGTATTCAGATCAACCTATAGACCACGGGTGTCAAATTCACTGCGCCACGTGACGTGTTGCGGTGTATCGTGACTTTTTTTGCATTGCTGGAGCTGGGGTGGGTGCGGCCTCCGTATGATGCAACCGGCCTGTGGGCCAGCAGCTTGACACCCCTGCTATAGGCTAATCAAATTTCCATACATTGCAAAAGTAATGTGTGATATTTATACTTTAGGAAGTAGACAATTTGGTATTGTCAGATGTTTGGAACATCTCCTACAGTCTTTTCCCTTAGAGAAAGCAGGCTAAGGCTGATAGGAGATGATCTTCGTATTTCTAAAAAGGAATCATTTATTTATTTGTTTGTTTGTTTGTTTGTTTATTGGTACATAAAGCAATAATTAGCAGCTCATAGTAATTCTATTTCTATTTTGCGTTTATAACTTCTTTTTCTGTTTTAGAAATAAAAGGAATGTTTATTGAGAAGTTATATTTATAGAAGGATATTTATGGGAATGTCCTGAGTTAATTTTTCACATGTGACAAAGTTTGGTTGAGAAAAAGACAGTTTCAAACACTTAAATGAATACCTCCTTCTTCTGTCGCTCCCCATCCTGATATCCAACACATTTTTCCTTCTTGAAAATGTTCTCCAAAATTAGGAAGGCAAATTGGCTCTATAAGACCTGTTTAAGCAAACAACATTCACTGTGAGATCATATCCCTCATCTTTCTTCTAAAGATTGAGAACTTTTAAAAATTTAAATACAGTTTTTCAAATACTTCTTGTGTAGAACTACAGCTTTGGGAGATTATAGAGGGTTGTGGGAAAGTGACAAGACACTTCCTATTACTGAATTGAACATCCAGTTCTTAAACTATTCGAATTAAAATTTCAATTCTGAATCTACACAAATCTATGAACCCCTAAAATAATAATAATATCTTTAACATCATTAAGCAACAACATCTGCCTAGCCAAATCCTGAGGAAGCACTTGATAGGTAGAATAAAAATGCCAAATCCAGTCTAAACATCTGGCTGACTGTGCCATAATATCATACAACAACGATACAACAGCATAAAGTAATACAATAAAAACCATTTCACTGAAAATGATGAAAGAATAAAATTTGAAATGATACTATTAATAGGGAAAAATGAGTCTGCATACTTTGCATAAGTTCTAAAATCTGGATTTTATTTTAAAGATATAACAAACTCTCATTTACCAAAAGTTATCAGAAAAGGGAAAAACAAAAGGCATGTTTCTTGGTCTTCTTCGCTTCTCTTCAACTACTCTTACATTTGTACAGATTAGGAAACAGTCTCTCTCTGCAAATTGGGTTTTGGTAGTTTCTCCCACAAGACAGTGATACTGAGATAAGAATCGCAACCTACGCCTTTCCTGCCTTCCTCTCCATCATAATTGCTTCTGCAAAATGAGCACCAGGTCTGACATCATCAGAAACCTGCACAGAAGCCTTCTGGAAATGGTTACTGTTCCTTTCCATGGCAAATACACAGTATTTAAGAGAAAGGAAAAGCACAAAAAGAATATTCCAACATCATACAGGTCTCACCTTCTCATGGTCATATTATAATATTCTTCCTATAAGCAAATAGACACTGTAGCAAATAATACATGTGATAAATCTAGGCCACCCTTCTCAATATGAACTTTAAACACAAAACAAGAGAAAAAGATAATTAAGGGAGTCAAAATTACCATTTAGTGCAAGTGGAGTAGCCAGCTTAATCAGCGCTATATCATTCTTCATTGTTTTAGGCTTATACTTTTTATGGTATATAATTTTGTCCACTAAGTATGGATTAATAGGGTTTTCTTCCAGGATTACTAAACCCACATGAACACTCCACGCTCCTGGTAGGTACAAACTGTTTCAGCAAAAACATTGCAAATAAAAAAGAAAGTAATATCTTTCAACATTTAAAATTGGCTATGTGTAGCGTTTACAACTTTATGTTCTCTAAGTTTTGATGTACAAGATTTCATTTCCAAAAATATAAAATCATACGAATATGATATATCTTATATCACATCACTGTGACATTCACTTTATCACTATGGCACAACCCCACAAAAAATGATGAAAATTAGGGTCTGGTCATGTGATACCTCAACTTACAATTGCAATGACTTATGACCATAATTCCAAATTCAATTACAGATGTAAGCTGAGGACTACCTGTATAAATTTCTACAAGTGGTGCCCGCATGAGTCCTATATTTCCTACCATCACCACCTTTTCACAGCAACATTCAGGGACATTTAGGCAAATAATTCCATCCTTCAGATCCAGTTCAGATCAGTTCCGGAATCCAAATTAAAACATCAAAACCGTGTTTGATGATATCATCTCAAAGGTGTTTTTTCAAGCAGAAACTGGACTTTCTTTGTTTTATCTTGAAGACATTTCGCTTCTCACCCAAGAAGCCTCTTCAGTTCTGATTGAAGAAGTTAGAACTGAAGAAGCTTCTTGGATGAGAAGCAAAACGTCTCCAAGGAAAAACAAAGAAAGTCCAGTTGCCTCTTGAAAAAGCAGCTTTGGGAAAACCATGACCTGGATAACTGAGATTCTCCATAGACATCGTACTTGAAGATAGCCATTGAAATATAACTCAGAGTGATTCTGTAAGAAAGATAGAGAGTAAATATAAGGTTTCTATTGGCACTGTTGCAGAAGTTTATAGCATGAGCACAAAACCAAGTTGATGTCTACTGTGTAACATGAGCTTATAATTGCATCATTTTGTTAAGTTAAGATGAGTTTGTATGACATCTAATCACTTTTAAAAAGTTTCTTATAGCCCACATCCAGCCACTAAGGCCCAACCAGGATAAGATGTCAACGATTAGTTGCCTCTCTATATCACACCAGCATCTTGGAAAATAATCAAGGAAAGATGACTCCATCACTGCTGTAATGAACTGATAACTAAAATATACAGATGATAAATATTAATGCTTTAATGCAGTTGTGAAGCAATATATGAAGCAACTTAATAATGTTTAAAAAACAACAGCAAGACCACCTTTTCAGAAGAAGGGAAACATGTATATAGGCCAAATCCATGAAAACCAGAAAGATAAAACTCAGATAATATCCAGTGAGAGAGTTCATATGGATGCATTTTGGAACAAGGAAATTGGAACAGAAAACTGGAGATAACATCACAAAATATTTAGAAGATAGTATTCTAGATGGGATGCTTACTCATAAACACAGTGAGCTGCTGTAACAATCCACAGTGGGGTGATGACTGACCCCCCACACAAATGATATCCTTGAAACTGAAGGCTGGCTTGCCATGGCCATTGCTGGAGCAGGGACACATTTCCGCCGACAATACGTGGGGAGTACCAGGTCCTAGTACCACATGCTGGCAGAATGAAAAAATAAAATCATTGGAATATACCTGTCACTATAAAATACCTGTTTTTTTATTTATCTAATAGAAAAGATTTAATTTTTCTAACTTGGAAAATATCCTTATTTTATCCTTTTAGGAGAACTGCAGTTATACCAAACATGTTAATAACTGAGGCATCACCACCAGAAAGTTCTGCTCCATAAGATTTGCAGAGATTAATTAAAACTGATAGTTTTATTTTGTATAGCTGCCCTTCATTAAAATTGAACTTGCACACAATGATTTATATTTGAACATTTGCATTCTTTCCTTAGTTCATGTGAAGAAATTGAGCTAACATTCTGTACCATTTCCCAAATCACTTACCCGAACATTTTAAGACAATTACATTGCCTGAAATACATTCTTCTCTGAAACAGAAAAAAAGTAAAAAAAAGCTTTATCCATAAAAATACCATTTGTTCAGTCTATAAATTTAAATTTATAGCTTTCATTATGTTGGCTGAAAATTCTAAGAATTACCTTCTTTCTTTCTCTCTTTCTCTCTTTCTTTCTTTCTTTTGATATTTCTTAACTGCCCATCTCCCTTGGAGATACATTCAAAATACATTTGAAAGGGACTAGATGGTTGATTTAAACAAGAATGATTATTGGTTCAATCTTGTATTTTGTCAGCATAGTCTTAACCAAGTCTGAGTTCATCACTGGAAGTCTGAATTTCCATAAATATTTCTACATAAATATATGGAAAGAGATACTTAATTTAACATATGAAGACTTCCTTCCCATATTAAAGCCCCTAACAGAGTAAAATGGAATCTCCCAGAAGCAAATTCCTTAGTGTTCTGGTCCCAAGGATGTCCAGATCATGAATCAACTATATACATGAGAGAGGTCACGTTACTTATACAAAGCCTTTACTTGGACACCTGTTACAATTAATTCCAGGAAGAGACTGGCCATTTTAATAAAACTCATTGCTACTTGTTCCCTGCAAAGGCCTAGGAATGATGATTGAAATGAATAATGAATTTTAGTTCTATTCAATAGAAGATGGGAAAGCATCTTAAATCAATTAAAATTTCCTTTAGAATAGGAATCAATGCATATTACCAATTTGCCAATTGAGAAATGGTGAAGTCACAGTAACACAGGGCATCTTCTCTAAAAGCATTATATGATGGTTCATGCATGCAGATAATATAGATTTATATTCTGCAGTTCCATGGAAGCTCATGGAGCCCATTTGCATGTCTTTCTGAAGCTAAACATCTGAAACATACCGTAAATTGGTAGCATTCTGTGGTGATGTTAGCTGATCAGCTGATAACCAATGATTTGCAGTAACAAAATATTTCTGGAATTCATTCTCAATGGCAGCCACTGGGAAGCCAGATGAACTTACAAAACTGTAGAAGGTAAGAATTAACCAATATGTTCCAGTACAATTTTCTTGCTTAACTCTTATATTTAAGACTTCTTATATTATCTGATTTTCGAATCTGGGGTAGATTATAATAATACAATACATCTAATTCAGGATAGCAAATCTACAACCTTCTCAGAATGCTGGAGTTTCATTCTTGTCAGCATTCCCAGCATCTTCTCAATATGTTAGACCACCACCACCATCATCCCATCATTCCTTTTGCATTAGAAAGACTACTTCAGAGTGGGCCCTGTTCTATACAGTTGTAAACATTGCAAACAGAAGACCTACATTTCCAGTGCCTTACTGTTTTTTAAAAAAAAAAATCTGTCAGATTTAACATAATCATCAGCAATACCAAGCCTATCACATTTTGGCAGTTTTCCTAACATTTTGAAAGTCTTCTGAAACGATGTAGTTTAATAGCTGATTGCCATCAATAATTTAAAAAGAAGCACTAAATGCAAAAGCTAATTCAACAAAGGTTTCACTGTTTATTTGAGTCAAAATATTACATTTTGACTTGAACTATACTTTGGGTCATTTTGTTTCCATTGTCACTTGACAAAATTGCTTAGCAATACCTTGAAAATCCTAAGTATTTACATGAAACATTCCCATAGCTGTCTTTCCAGCCATCGGAACACACAGTCCGCCAGGTTCCAAAACTGAACACCTGCAGCACAGCTCTTTTGCCGCTCAATCTGACTAGGGGGACACAAAAAAAAAAAGTCAGCTGGTGTTTAATAATAATTATTGTAAGGACAGGACAGTTGCAGCAGCCAAGTGCCTCTTGCTTTTCTCTCTTTGCACTATTTGGGTGAGACCTCCAGTAGACTAGTTCAGGAAGTAAACCAGTAATAATATATTCAAAACTTAATGAAATTAACCCTGTAATTGACTTCAATTTTACCCCCCCCCCTTTTAAAAAATGTCTTTAACAATTAATTTGGGATAGAGCTGACATACAGTATGCTCAAATGTAAAATGTCTGTGGGGAGTAAAAAAATTATGGTGGCCTGAACATGCAACGGAAGTGCTTTACAGCCCTCTCTAAGCAGTTTACAGACTCAGCATGTTGCCCCCAACTATCTGGGTCCTCATTTTACTGACCTTGGAAGGATGGAAGGCTGAGTCAACTGTGAGTCAGTGAGGATCAAATTGCCAAACTGCAGTCAGCTGGCAGTCAGCACAAGTAGCCTGCAGTACTGCATTCTAACCTCTGTGCCACTTCTTATGTAAAATAAGAGGGGAATCCTTTGATTGTACATTTGCATCAACTACCTTGACTTTTTTTAACCTATCCCTGCAGTCATCCCTGATTCCATGTGCTGAAAGCTATGCTGATAATGTTGGATTTTATTGCCCTTGACTCCCCATTATTTAAAAAAAATGCCTATATTTAAAAGCAGAACTTATAATTTTATGGGTCAACTTTCAAATAATACATTTGGGTTGTTTCAACTCATACATGGTTATCTATGTAATACATATGAACCCAGATATAAAGGGACATTTTTATAGTATTTCAGGATAAGTATAATGCTACATTGTACAAATATAATATTGTGCATAACTTTGTTATGTGATTTTTGTAAAAGGTGTTTTTGCAATCAATGCTGCTTCTGGAATAAATGAATCCTCTTAGCATTTGTCACCCCTTTGTGTTAAGCTGGATTAAGGAAACAGGCTCCACAACTAATATTGGAACACTATTTTATTAATAAACAACAGAAACTTGAAAGTCTAGCAACTTTATTCCTCCCTCCCTCCCTCTTATATTCAAGAGAATAAAGACAGAGCTGGACTGAGCTCTTTATAATGTTTTCTTCTGTCTTGGACTTAAATCACTTTGCCTTCACATAGTTTCTACAAGGTCATCTCTATAGCTCTTTTCACCATTGTATAAAATGGTAGCTTTTCTGCACATGTTCAGTTAAAATGGTAGCTCCTAATGAGTGCACAATAAAGAAATTTATTCACACTGGCAGGGATTTTAAATTCTCAAAATTAAAAAAAAAAAGGACTGCACTGAGAAGGAAAAATTGTATGTATTTCATTATTTTCCCAACAAAAGGGTCCCTTGGGGCTAATATTTTTCTCCCTTTAGTAGTGTGGTATATTATCTACAGCACAGGACTATATACAGAAATTGCCAAGGTAACGTTGGATTAGTTATTCTTTTTCACTTCAGAACTTAAGCCTTGAGAGGAAGTAGCACATAAAATCCATAATAAAAATGAATGTTACCACATCTGTACTCATCTTCTCCATCTTTGCAATTGAAGACGCCATCACACCTTGCTGTTTGATCAATACATTTAAAGGAAGATCTACACTGAAACCTCCCATTGCAGTTGAAATAAACTGGGGTGGGGGGGGAAGAAAGGATATTTTATTAAATCAACACAACTCCAGATTTGTTCAAAAATTTACACATGAAGAAAAGAGATGCATAAGGAAGAAATGAAAAAGGGAACATTGAAGAATCATCTGTGGTTACAAATATTATTATGCTGTTCATTCAAAATACCATCTACAATGAAACAGCAACATTTTGATATATGATTGGCCCTCCCAAATTGGAACAGGAATTATGTGTGCAACCTTCCTCTCTTTCTTTATATATTGGAAAGAAGGAAATGTTATAACTGTTTTGTGATGGAAGTTAAAATAGAACCCATTCCTTTCTCTACCTTTCTCCATCCAGATTCTCCTTCCTTCCCATTTGTTTTTTCTCCATTCCCTCATACGGCAACAAAAATCAGCTATACAATGTGGAACGGCTAACACTCATTCACCGTCAATACAAAATGCCTGTCCATTGTTCCCCATATGTTTTATAACCCAATCCTTCTATACTGAAAGCTTTGTGTGAACCATAAAGTTTGATTAATTATTTTCTCCTGGTTTTTCTTAGTTTATGGTGGCTTTTAAAATGAGACACTACTTCCATAATAAAATAGATCTGCTGAGACTGGGGAAAATCCAGTGCCACTTTGCTGATACTTAGCTGAATAAAGGTGCTATTATGTATGGTCAATGTGACTGCATGCCCCAGGAAGGATAATCTATGTGTGCTGACTTTTGCTTAGCAATAAAAATGCTTCAAAGTTTGGCAAACTTTCAAATGCTTGACCTTGTGAAAGAAAGCTAGCAGGTATCTGAAACACTCAGGGGAAAAAATGGGAGTACAACAAAATTGAACTGATATAATGGGTCTCAAGAAGGATTGGCTGTCTGGAATAACCTGTTGCCTTCAGAGTAGCTGAGCTTCAGTTTCCATGATCTCCCAGGAAAACCTAGCCAAAGTCCCAGGCTTCCTGGGAATCATGAGGAGTGAAGTCCAACCTCTCTGGAGGGCACTAAGTTGGGGGAAGACTAAAGACTAAACCTATTAATGACCATCTTACTTTACAAAGCTCATATAAGAGTTTTTTTATTATCATTATTTCAACAGCAATAATTCAAGATGCAACTTTTAGTATCCAATTAATATTATCCTTGGCGGGAGGTTCATGAAAAATGCAAACTCTTTGATGGTTAACTGAGAACCTAATAAATAAATTATTTGTACTCACCACTCAAGGCAATGGCAGTTGCTATGATTAAAGTGAAAAATAAGGCAAGGATAAAGGGAAGCAGCCTTAGTGGGATTAAAAAATGGCACCGAGGCACTGCAATCTCTTCTGGGAATCAAACAGAAAAGTGAGAAATAAAAATGTCTAAAAATGCATATAATCATGAGATTTGTATCAAAATAACCTTTTAAAAGACCCCAGATTCTTAATATGAATTTACATACAAAGGAGTGAAACATATTTCTAAAAAGAAAACTAATTTTTGATGATGAAAAGGAGCCTGGTAGCACCTTTTAATAGTAAATTTTATTAAAAGGTATGTGTGGAGTGGTTAAATTGGTATAGGATTTAAAGTTGGGATGGAACATTATGCAGATTGCAAGTTCCTCTTCAATTATCAATCATAATATGTTAAAAAAGCTACTTTATTTCTTAAGGCCTTTCAAAATAGCCTTTGGATGTATATGAACTCCATAGCCTCTCACTCTATGTATTGGTATGGCTTTTTTCTTCCAAAACAACTACCTTGAGACTTTTAATCTAGTGTCCTGGGAGATTACAATACCTTTGTTTGAATTCTGATGCCAAATTTGCATCCATTAGTTCTTTGGCTCAAGATTTGGCTCATGTAGAATCAGAATGGTGGTGCTGGTAGATAATGGCATAAATCCAATTAGAGAAAGAACATGTGAAGCTGCCTCTAGTGGGTGAAGTTGTTGGAGTTCATGATGGTGCTGTTGATGTGTATATGTGGAGAAAGTAGACCCTTAGTTTTGTTGCAAGATATAATGTTGCAGGATTAAAAACATCTTCATAGGCTCCCTCTGAGTGTTGGATACTACAGACTGACATGGGTCTCTTTCTATAGTATTTTTAATGGCATTTCTCATTCTCACATCCCATCAATACTTTATTTCTAAACAAAGTATCTATGATTTAATTTTGAAAAGTTGTGGCAGATTCTACAGTGGATTGTAGAATCCAGAACATTATCAGAAACAGGAACAGAAAATGATTTCGCATATGATGGGACTTTTGAATATTCATAAAAGGACTCTTGAATTTCAAAATATTCATTTATTAAAAGAAAGCAAGTGAAAAAGAAAAATCACTGAAATAATCTTAAAACAACCAAGTACTTAAGTAGAAAACAAGGGTGGAGAGAGAAACCTACATCATGGTTGTATCCCTAAAACAAATGTTATGCTTGTTTTGTAGAAGGCTCATATAGTATCTGTTTTTATTTTGAAATTTTTGAAAACTATACTGTATTCAGTTTGTAGACAGAACTCAAGACACAGATATTCAAGACAGAGCTGTCAGTAATTCTCAGTATTGTATTATTATTACTATTATTTCCATTCTTTCATTCAGATTCAGGAAGAATAGTCCTGAGTAGTAATGAATGAGTTCATTGATATCATTCTGTTTTTCTTAACTCTATCAGGTCTTTTCAGTTTCCCTGGTATCTCATCCTTCTTCTAAAACTAGACAAGCTAAAATATGTCAGACATGATTACTGAACAACAACAACAAAAAGAAATCAATAAGCAATATAAAAAGGAAGAGTAAAGGGCTTAAAGAAAATTTGGAGAGGCAACAACCTATACTGTGTTACATCAAAGAATTCTATGCTTCTTACCATTTTCATGTTCACTATGATCTACTTTTGCTTGATGTATACAGAACATCCTTCTGCAGCAGAAACAAATATTAGAATCTGGCAGTTCATCTTCTGCAGCAGAGGCAATTTCAGTGGTATCAAGACTGGAATCTGTTCTTGGGGCCTAGATCAGGATAGGTACATATGTCTTGGGAGTCCCATAATCAACTGCGGCACAGTAAGTCTATCTTATGTTGCAGGATTATTGGAAGGACGCATATGAAAACTCAGCATAAGCATTAAGTATACATATATGATAGGCCAAATCTCATTCCTGGAATAGATTAGATCAGATTCCCAATCTATATAGGCCAGGGAGGACATGACTACAAATGATTACCAGTTGTGTCCATTCAAAACATCCATATGACAGACCCAAAGCACAAGGCTTCAGCCACTCATCATTTTATTTTTTATGAATGCCTCTGGGACCTACGTGGGCCTAGAGATATTGGTGGACATATAGGTTATACTTGATGTTGGTATTTATGCTGCAGCATGCCAATTTTCCATTTACTTTTTAATCAAACAAATCTAAGAAAAATAGCATAGGTAGGATAGGGAGCCTGGTGATTGTCAAGCAAGAATCCAGGAAATAAGTCCTCAACCAAAGCTTTTTTTTTTTTTAGTGGCGCTCTTTAACAAACTCAGAATCTATTACTTTTACCAAAGAGTAAATAGCGAATCAGTTTGGTGTAGTGATTAAGGTAACAAGCTGGAAACTTGGAGATGTGAGTTGTAGTTCTTCCTTAGACACAAAACCAGCTGGGTGATCCTGAGCCAATCATTTTCTCTCAGCCCTAGGAAGAGTAAATGACAATTCACTGCTGAAATCTTGTCAAGAAAACTGCAGGATTCATCCAGGAAGTTACCAGGAGTCAATGCTGACTTGAAGCCCTCTCCCATCAAAAATGATATTCATATTAATTAGGAAGTAAAGCCTTCTTTCGGTAACTGGATCAAAAGAATTCTCACTTTTCTAATTGCAATAGACAAGGTGGACACCACGGCTACTTATTTGCTTATTTATTTAACTTATTAGTTAAATGTTATTTTTTCTTGCTGTCACAATTGTTGCACCCTTAGTGGTAGTGTATACCAAGGAAAAACATTCACCAAGTAGCCCAAAAACAAACAAACAAAAAACTCCGTGCCCAACAATAAAATCATCAGCCCAAAAAGCAGAACAAAATATAATGTTTTTCTATTGCAGTGTCTAATTAATTAAAACATAAAAAGAATAATTCTGCTCAGCTTGCTTCCAGAAGGCTAACAGTGTTACTTCCTAAAACATAAGTGGGGACCAGGACAGAAAAACATCTGTTTCTCACATCTGTCCCCTTAATTTTATAGACCTGGAGGAATTACAAGTAATCATATCCTGTGGTGATTGAACCAGAGAAGACTGAAATAGACAGTATTGGAAATACTATGGTACCAGATCTCAAGTCAGCTCTATAAGATAGACAAGGCTAAAAAAGAAGATAAAAAATACTGTTATTGTAAAATGAAAAGTAATACAATCTTGCAAGTCTGAATGTGCTTTCCCCTTTCCTCATGCTATTTTCACGTGAACTAGAGAGGGGTCTGTCAAAGATACTCTCTACATCCTCTATACCATATAAGACTTTATAATTCAAAACAAACACTTCCTACTGCACCTGGAAGCCTATTGGTAGCCCATAGTAGATGTGTAATAAATTCATGTTTTGAATATGAACCACAGAATTTTATACCTGTTGCAGTTTTTAAGTGCTGTTTAAAGTCAGCCCCATTTAGAACTTACTTCAGTAGTCCAACTGGGTGGAAGGAACAGCATGTGTTAATCTTGTGAGAGCCTTTCATTCCAAATAAGATTGAAGTTTTGTAGATTAAGGATCACATACATGAGCATGGTTGTACTTTAACCAGGCACCTTGTCCACTGAAGGTCTTTGCAAGTCAGTTATTTATTTGTTCAAATCATGTTTATATTGCTTCCCATGATGGAGCAAAACATCATATAGTGTAGCCTCAAACTTTGGGTCCTATTGTAATCCCTTAAAACATTTATTGTGAGAATGCTTTATTGGAATGTAAAAGATGCATGAATTAGTAGACAGCTGATATATAGTAAAAGCTTATATTATTCCATATACAGTAACCTGCATCACCAGCCTAAAGCTTGAAACTGCAGATTAGAAATGGTTGTAGGCATGCCAAGGGCTTGCATGAACAATGCTGGTTTTCTTTGAATGAAGTGCAAACGTTATTTTATTTTAGAACTCTTTTAATTTAGAACTCAAATTTTCATCATTCGTGGCCTATGACTAGAGGATTTATAACTTGAAAGGATGGGAGTATTCCTCAAGCCTGTCTTTAATAAACTGCAATTGTTCATTTGACTTCCTAATGACTAAAATAATTATGTGCAAGTATTTAAAATATGACCTATTTAAAGACATACCATTTTTTTTCAAAGTGCTTTTTAAACTAAAAATATTTCAGTTTGATATTGTCTATAGAAACTATAATAGAAATACTGGAAATGTCTTTACTAATGCAAAGGTACCTCTGAAATGGAAAGACAAGGGATTCATTATTCCTTTTCCCCTGTAACTTCTCTTCCTCCTGAAGGTTACTGCCTTCAAATCTGATCCATACTTTTGGACCTGGATTTGGAGGAAGTAAGAATGAGGGTGATGGAGTAACTATTGAAAATTAGCACCATTACTTTGATGAATGCCTTCTGTGGGCAGACAGAATTAACTGTATGTCTCCCTATAGGTTTATTTTCTCTGGAACATAATAATGAAGGAAAAAGATATTCTGTTCATAGCACAATTATACAGGTAGTCCTCAACTTACAACAGTTTATTTAGTGACTCTTTGAAGTTGCAATGGCACTGGAAAAAGTGATTTATGACCGTTTTTCACACTTAAGACCACTGCAGCATCCTCAGGGTCACATGATCAAAATTCAGATGCTTGGCAACTGACTCATATTTATGATGGTTGCAGTGTCCCAGGGTCATGTGATCACCTTTTGGGACCTTCTGATAAACAAAGTCAATGGGGAAGCCAGATTTGTTACTAAATTAACAACTGCAGTGATTCACTTAGCAGCTGTGGCATGGCAGGTTGTAAAATGGGGCAAAATTCACTTAACAAATGTCTCGTTTAGCAACATAAATTTTGGGCTCAATTGATGTTGTAAGTCAAGGACTACCTGTAATTCTGCAAAATGTTAAATAAAACAAGTGCCTAGCACTAACATATTTCCATTACTCTGAACTAGTTCTTACATTTTAGCATGTACATGAAATTTTCTTGGGGAGATTTCTTCTATTGTGCATAGAATTGATGCACCAGCCTTGTGTACATGTATCCACCTCTGCACATGAGGGTGCCATGTAACACACATAACAATTAGTGTTGTGCTGGAGGTGAATCTGCTCCTAAATAACTTCATACTCTACCCACAATCCTCACTGAATTGAAAGCGACTTGGCCCAGTGCTAGAATCTATTCAATTTGTGCTTGAAGAAATCCAGTGGAGAGCTGAATACACAGCTGGATTAACAGGTGATTATTTTCCTGCAACAGTCTGGTACTGTTGAAATGAATGAATGTGCTCTTATACCCCTCTCATTCAGTGCATTTGGAATTCAAAGAGTTGTCTACAATCAGAAATAACAAAGTACACAATCTATTGTATGTTAGAATGCTACTTTCTACACCATCATGTGAGTTCAAAAAGACTTGTCCTTATCTGGCTCCCGTCTACTTCTCTCTAGGGGGACTTTGTTGTGAGAACCGGCAACAATCAAAGAAACGAGTTTCCAAAATGTGGCACGTAATGGAAAACAGAAGAAAAACATTTAACCCTCTTTCTTCTTTCCTGGATTTCACTTACCTGTTCCACTGAACTCATCCTGAAAAGCCTGAATGTTCCCTCTTTTCATTCTAAAAGTTATCTAGCCCAAAACCCCAAGGTATTTTCTCCAAATATGTTCACCTACTCCTCGGGAATTAGTAGTGGACTCATTGCAGCAGATGATCATTTGACTGCTATTAATGTAACTCAACCAGACCAAAGATATCAAGTGGCCTAGCATGGCTTTGTTCCAAAGGCCAGGAAGGTAAAAAGGCACCAGTCCTATTAATTAATTGTAATCAAGGGAAGGAAACATTTGAGATAGATGCAAATATGTTCAATAATCTTGGAAAGTGCAGCTTTTACTTTTCAGGCAAAACAGTTGAAACTGATGATTTGGTTGGTCAGATTGTCTCTAGTAAAAATTCTGCTGATAGTTGTTGGTGACTTCTCAAACAGCAGAGCTTCTCAAACGGCAGAGTTGAGATGTGGTTTCAGAGATATGAAAAGGTAGCAGTGGTCAGTAAAACAACAACAACAGCTGCCTATCATAAACTTATAACCACACCCAGGATCATTCATGATCTTTTGCAATGCATGTAAATCCTGAGTCTGGGCAGAAAATTAAAGAATTATGAAGTGTGCATGAAAAGCTTCACACCAATTAAAATATTTACATAAAAGAACAATGGGAGTACTGCTAGAGACTCTGTATGTTTTTCTGTCTCATATTACACACAAACCCCCTCCCCACTTTTGACACAATGGGTCTTGCAGAGAAGGACATTTATTATTTACCTCAGTAGGTGCCAGCAGAAATGTGCAATGACTAGACTGGGTAATAAGGAGTGCCAAAGTTTCTGTTTGTACTACATCAACAAAAGTTGCAGAACCAAACTGGTCAAACTTTTCTATTTTATAGGATGATGATTATATTACCCCACAAGTATGAAAGACATTAATAAAGAAATTCTGGCAACCGAAGATGTAGTTTGTTTATTTATGTCTGTCTGTCTGTCTGTCTGTCTGTCTGTCTGTCTAATTAAAACAGTTATATAGTCACCCATCTTTCAACCCACTCTGGGTGGCTCCCAATCAAAAATCAAAATACAAAATCACACTAAAACTATAAAGCTAAACACATTAAATCATTAAAAATAACAAAAATCTGGCACCAAATCAAACTTTTAATGTGCAGTCATCCAATCTTATCCCACCACTTTGGGGGAAAGTCAGGACCTCAACATTTTACAGAGAGCTAGGAGGGTGGAGGCCTACTGACTTTCAGGAGGCAGAGTGTTCCATAGAATAGGGGCTGCCATGGAAGAGGTCCACTCCATACTGCCCATCAGAAGACAACATTTGGGATATATATATATCCCTGGAAGCCAGAGCACCTCATACAACAGACCTGTTACATGGACAAACCTGGGGGGGGGGCATTACTGTGTGTATTGCAGTTGAAGTGTCTGGGTAATCTTCAAAGGTAGCTCATGTAGAGCACATTGCAGTAATCCAAACAGGAAGTGACCAAGGAATGAGTAACTGTGAATAAGGCCTCCTGGTCCAGGAAAGAGCACAACTGAATTCTCATATACTAATTAGAACTTATGGCCCATAACACATCAGCAGGGATGAAATAGCGTTTTTCCTGAAATTCGTAAGTGGAATTTTGAACCAGTATTTTCAGAAGAACTTTTGCTCAGCAATAGAATGCAAGCAGGAGGTCCTGTTTCCTTTTTTAAATCCTGGAAAGCAGTTTGTCATATCAGGGAATATTAAACTTTTCCAACCTGGGTTTATCCATATGTCTTGGCCAACAACTTCCATTAGCGGCAGCCAGCAAAAATAGTGGTTGGAGATTATGGGGAATCTACTGTACTCCAGAACATCTGGAGATTCTACATGCAGATTCTGATCTACCATAAATCAACTTCCTGAGTTTAATTACAAATGGTGATTGAACATAGAATAGACAGTGTGAAAGAGTGGGGAGAGAACAAAAAAAAATCAATCCAAATAAGATTATGACTCAAGGAACACAACACTTATCTACTTTGGAAAGAGGACATAATGTTTTGAATGAAGTTATATTTTTCCTGAAAGGTTCTTGACTTAATTCTACTTTTATTAAGACGCCTTGTCATTAGCTTTGATGAGTACACCAATTGTCCATTTTCCAAGAATAAGATAGACATTTTTTATTTTTATTTTTTATTTTAATATAAGATAGGTCTTTATTTTTTAAAGAAGACAGTATAATTATAAAAAATCAAAATAAACTGTCCATCACTCGTTATATTGCTTAATAGAAACAGACAATATATAATTCCTGCTGGTTTAAACCTGCTTTTGAATAAATGAATAAGGCTCCACAATGCTTTGGATTTGATTCCAAAAAGGCACTTCGGAACATACAAGGATAAGAGTGTAGTATCTATCAGCAGCTCTTTAAAGCAACCATGCCTTTTCTAAGGATAATCTGGCTGTGCTCTGCAAGAGCCACATGGCTCCAGGAAAAGGGGCAGGTATTTTAAATGCTTGCAGACAGACAATGTGCTGCATTTGTGTTCCTGAACATCTTTGGGGAATTGAATCTGGATTATCATACAGTTCAATAAATAAAATTACAAATCAGGAAACACCGACATGTAGTAATATGGAATGTAACTAATTCATTGGTAATACCAGTTGGGTGCAGAGACCAAACGCACTACCAACCACATCCTGTAATTTTGTCTTAGGCACAAGAGAGTGACTTTGGGCCAGTCATTCTCTCTCAGCCCTAGGAAGGAGGCAATGGCAAGCCATTCCAAAATCTTGCCAAGGAATGTGCAGATACTAATCCAGGCTGTCTCCAGGACCCAAGACTAACTCAATATAAGTCATACTGAATCTGCTGCTATATATATATAGCCACGTATATAAAAATTCTGTTTTCCTTCCCCCCTCCCCCCTCTTTGCAGTCTGTCTACTGTAATAATTGTAAGAACCACAGCATTCTGTAAAAACAGGATATCAGCGTGTCAAAAAGACTGAAGGAGGTTTTGAGGGTTTGATTTTATCTTAGCAGACTCTGCCCCTCTATTCTTTCGCTATACACACATTCACAGAAGGAAAGGAAGAGATGGCGGCAGCTGAAACACAGCTCTATTCAAAGGTCTTAAACAAGAGAAAAAACAGAAGTACCAATTCCTTAATGGAGCCTCTCTTGGCTACTGGTTTCTCTGTACATACAGCGTAAGTACAGTTATCATCACAGTGCCACAGAAATCCACCCTTTTATGCTTAGAGGAGCTCATGAAAAGAGCTTATAAGAAGAATATCTCACCCCCACCCTGATTGTGTATGGGTGCCTGGTTTACTCAATTCCTACTAATTTAAATGTTTTAATGTTTCTTAATGTTTTAGTGTTTATATATTTTTGTTTTTATGGTGTTGTAAGCCACCCAGAGTTACTCAGTCGTGATATGGGCGGTCTATTCTTGTTTTAACCATTCGGTCATGTCCAACTCTTGGTGATTTTGTATGCAAGTGCTCTCCATGCTACCCTGTCAAGCACCGCTTCTTTCAGTTGTTGGATGTTCATCTTTGAATCAGCTTTGATGGTATCAAGCCAGCGAGTTCTTTGCTTGCCCCTTCTTCTTGGCCCATTAATTATTCCTTAGCATCACTGATTTATCCAATGAACCTGCACACATGATGTGGTCATAATAAATCAGATGTAGTCTGGTGATTTTGGCTTCTAGTGATGTGTCCGTTTTTATATGATTCAACACCTCTCTGTTGGTTGCTCTGGCTCTCCATGGTATACACAATAATTTATGCCAGCATTACAGTTTAAAGTTGATATATAAATGTAATAAATTTGGCAGTATTGTAAAATTCAATCACAGTATAATCATCTAAAGTAAATCTGGACCAAAGCAAAGCAAATAAAATATTAACACTGGAAATTGTTTGGGTTTTATTGAAGTTAAATTCTTAAAGGAGACAAGAATATTTAAAACTCTGTGGTAGTAAGCAAATGTATTGTTGACTGTGTCATTCTGTGAGGACTCTTAAGAACTGCAAGTAAAAACTAGGCAGCCCCTTGTTTGGGAAGCTCTGAATTTCCCACAGCCACAGGAAACTAAGTTACCGTAAATGGCCTACTGTACAATGTCCCTTCTATCTTTCTGATTTTAGAATTCTAGAGGTGCTTTCACCAATTTCCTTTTGTTCTTTGATAGCCAATTTCTATCATTTAAATCCAAAAGTGCTAGCTTTTACATTGCTAAGTAGCATACTAAACGTTTCAAAGAATGCAATAAATGAATAATTTTTATTGGCTGCTTTCAAATGAGTTTACTCTGATTAATTACTTCTTACAATGCAGATAACATTTGAGGAATAATTTCAATACCAGCCTTCTTTTAAAGATTTAGGATCAGGCTTGGGAGAAAACATTTACATTTCTCATTCACTTAAAAAAAAATGCAAGGGCCTCGTGGACTCATATCTTTTCTGAGCAGGGCCACAAAAACATTTCCTAATTATTTCCCCTGGCAGGCAGATATTATTTTAGTTAGTGTTTAAATTAGTTTAGTTAGCTTGTAGTTAACTACAACTTAATTGGCTTGAAATATTTGTTTGTCCATTGGCTATGTCAATTGTTTCTTTAAAAATCAATATGTGTTTAATTGTTGGGTTTCTATTGTTATTTTTGTATAATAACAGCTTGCTTATTAATTCAGTTGCTGCTAGCCTTTAGAAGTAGAAGGGCAGGCTACACAGTGATCTTAAATAAATACAATTCAAGAGGGCTGCAGTGTTTGATGCAGGCCACAACCTACATATTAGAATAGAATAGAGCTGGAAGGGACTTTGGAGGTCTTTTAGTCCAGCCCCCAGCTTAAGCAGGAGAACCTATAAAATCTCAGACAAGTGACTGTCTAGGCTCTTCTTAAAAATCTCCAGTGATGAAGCGCCCACGATTTCTGGAGGCAAGCTATTCCACTGGTTAATTGTCCTCATTGTCAGGAAGTTTCTCCTTAATTCTAGGTTGCTTCTCCCTT